CGACGCTGGGCCTGTCTCTGCCTGTGCCCACGTCTCTGGCTTGCCGGCTGTCTGTCTGTCTGTCTCTCTCTCTCTCTCTCTTCCCCGCGACCCCTCCCAAAGAGAAGAGCCTCCTCCTCCTCCTCCTGCTCCTCCTGCTCCTCCTGCTCCTCCTGCTCCGCTCCTGCTCCTGCTCCTCCTCCTCCTCCTTCTCATCCTTCTCCTCCTCCTCCTCCTCCTCCTCCTCCTCCTCCTCCTCCCTGCCCAGCCACGCACCCGAAGCAGCGGGGGGTGCGAGGGGGCCAGCAGCCATGGCCTGCAGAGCTGCTCACCTCAAATCTGCTCACCCGCAGATCTCTCTGGGCCCGCGGAAACGTTCGGGCCAGACAAGCATGGCCGCAAATCTGCCCACCCCAAACAAACAAGGAAGGGCTGGGATTGGGCTCGCGGAAACTGCGGGGCAAGAATCATTGCCCCCAAATCGGCCCACTTTAAGCAGACATGGAAGAGACTGGGGCTCGGGGGGGGGTGCGCTGGCGGAAATTGCAAGCCTATAAAGTAGCCAGCAAGTCCGTTCACTCCGAGCAGACCGAAGGCAGGGATTTGGGTTCGCAGAAATTGCGGGCCCCCAGAAATGGTCTGCAAATCTGCTCACCCCAAACGCCCCAGGAAGGGCCAAATTTTTGGCCCAATGTTCTCTGCAATTTCCGCGGGCCCAGTTTTCGGCCCCGCTCTCCGCGTGCCCTGCCCCCTCCCTTGTTTGCTTGGGCAGCTGTGCGGGCCAAATGTTTGAGGCCCGCACTTTCCGCCGGCACACTTCCAGCCCTGGCCGATGTGCTTTGGCCCGCACTCTCCGCGTGCCCAGTCCCGTTCTTTTCTGCGCGCTGGGGGCGCACATGCGAAGTCATCCCAGTCCTGACACCCATTCGCTGGACCCCATTCCCGATCTAGCTCGGTTGATAGCGTTCTGTCTCGCACTCCGCAGGTGTGGGATTCAAATCTGAGTTGGACTGCGTCAGTTTGGCACCACGCAATCATGCACAGCTCACTCCAACTGCTTCTCAGAGGCTCTTCACGCGCTCCCCACCCGTTGAAGACGCACCATTCGGGGGGGCCCCCGCGAACCTCGGTTTGCCCACCTCACGTGCGGGCTTGCGGAGGCAGAGACAGAGACCGCCGCGGGAAGAAACACGACGCGCACAAGTTCAAGAGCATTGGGAAAGAGCCGGGCCTGCGAGGCCGTGCCTGGCCACCAACTGGAGAGACCTCCGGCACCCGAGAGCGAGCCTCCTTCGAGCCTCTCGGGAGAGCTGCCCGACCACGGGCTCGGGGACCGCCGAAGCCCTCGAGGATGGAGGCCGGGCCATCCGGCATGCAGGACGAGTGGCCTGCCAGATCGGGGGCCGAAGCTCCATGTGGGAGGCCTGCGGGCCCTGGCCCTCCAGGGTGCCCACGGGAGCCAGAGAAGCAGGGGGAAAGGGATGGGGAGGAGGAGGAGGAGGAGGAGGAGGAGGAGGAGGAGGAGGAGGAGGGAGACAAGCCCAAAGAAGAGTGCAATCGCCAAGGTACAATGAATCGTATCAAGGTCCGCACCCTAAACAATGTAATGCGGTGAACGGCGAAATCCAAGTGAATAACGCGGAATACCAGGGAGCACGACGAGGTACGGGAGGCCACGATAGACGCAGGAGGGCAAGCATCGCTGCGACCAGACAGCCTCCGCGTCGGGCCCGAGGAAGGCAGGCGGACGTGAGCCTGGACGGCAGATGGGTATCGATCCCGCTGTGCTTATAGCAGGCTTCTGCTTCTTCGTCCTCGCGCAGACCCCTCCCTGGGTTTGTTTCGAGGGGTCGCGAAGTGTCGGAGGCTCCTTTTTCGGCCAGTGGGAGGGCCAATGCTTGACACCCCTCAGGGGGATCGAGGCCCCCGAGGATGGGCAGACATCGAGGACCCCCCTTCTTTTGACCGACCGCCTCTAAGATGGTCCCAAGAGGCCCTCCAGGGCTCCCAAGAGGCCCCCAAGAGGGTCCAAAGAGCGCCCCAAGAGGCCACCAAGAGGCCTTCAAGAGGCACCCAAGAGGCGCTCGTCCTGTCGTCCTCTCGTCCTCGTCCATATCCTTCGTCCTCGTCCTCGTCCTGAGTTCCCTCCCAGTCAGTCCCTCCAAGCATTTTTTCACCCTCCTCCTCCTCCTCTCCTCCCCTGCTCGTTCTCCTCTTCCCTCTCGTCCTCGTCCCTCGACTGCGTCCTCGTCCTCGGCCTCTTTCTCCCGACCCGTCCCTCGTCCTCTGCTCGTCCGCCTTCCCCCTCCACCTACCTCCTCCTCCTCCTCCTCCCTCCTCCTCCTCCTCACTCTCTCAGTCTCTCCTCCTCATACCTCGTCCTCCTTCTCCTCATCGACAACTCCTCTTGCCTCCCCTTCCGCTCCTCCTCCTACATCCACCTCCTCCTCCTCCTCCTCCTCCTCCTCCTCGCCCCACCCCCCCCCCCCCAAACGCGGGCCCAGAGATGGCCCCAACACGCCGTCCAGGCTGGCCCCCCTCGCTGTTTGACTGCGCGTATGTATTCTCTCTCCCCATCAACTCTCATGAGCATCTTCTCTGGATGGGCTGGTGGAGATACTTTTTTTGTCGCGGCCGCAAGCGAAAGCGCAGGAGGCGTCCGAAAAGGTCAGGCGGGCTACGCGCGAGCCTAATTATCGCTGGTGGAGATACTTTTTTGATCTGCGGCCCAAAGGACGGCTCCAGAGGGCGGGTCAATCAAGCTTGGGGCGACAAGCTGATGGAGATACGCGGAGCGTCAAGAATTGACCCCTCCAATTCAGAACGCGCCATACCTTGCGCCTCAGCCACAACCTGCTGCACATGCACGGCGGACAGCGAGGGGTGCTTCACGGCTGCGCGGAGAGCCGCCAGGGCAACGCAGAGCTGAGCAGACAGCGCGTGGACCCGGCCATCGCCGGAGCGGCCTCACACTGCACCCGGCAAGAGCGCACCATGTCGCAAGGCGTAGACGACTGCCAGTCTGCGACGCCCGGGTGCGCTGGCCCTGGCTGGGAGCTCCGCGAGGGGAGCGAACTCCTCGGCCAGGAGGGGCAACGGCATCGAAGTTTTCGCCAGCAGCGTGCACAAACGACTCCACTCAGGAAGGTGCCCCCCAAACAGCCACTTCTGACGAGGCGTCCGCGGGTGCCTGGAAGACCACGTGGCGTTCTGATCCAGCACGCCGAAAGACTGCGACTTTTAGGATCGACTCGGTCCCCAACGACTGGGCGATCAATTGTCACATCGTGGGGCGGATGATGGATCTTGGGCTGATGCACGTCACACGACGAAGAGTGACGCCGAAATGCAGACTGTTGCATATCAGGGTCAGTATTACAATACATGCTGCTGTCCCTCCAAGAAAATACTCGAGACGTAGCCAACCCCTTCTCCACGCGAGTCCATTATTTGAATGAACGCTCTATACAAAATAATACGTTGCGAGGACAGTCTGCTCCGCTGGGCATCCCAGGGGCCGACGACAGTGGCAACAATTTCGCACTTCGCAACTCCCCAGGAAGCTGCGAGGTCTCGGCTGGGCCTGCGTACTCCCCCACTCTGCTGGGCCTCCCAAGAGCCCACCAATGTGACGACGATTGCGCACATCGCAGCCCCCCAAGGAGCCGCGAGGTCTCGGCTGAGTGAGCATACTCCGCTACCCTGCTGGGCCTCCCAGGAGCCCACGAAAGTGGCGGCAATTACGCAGGTCGCTGCCCCCCCCCGAGGAGCCGAAACGTCTCGGCTTGATGCGCGTACTCCCCGACTCCGCTGGGCCCACCGGGAGCCCAAGAACGTTGCGACAGTTGCGCAGCTCGCTGCCCCCGAGGGAGCTGCGAGGTCCCCCCCTCCGGTGGGCCTCCCAGAAGCCCACTGGGGTGGCGACAGATGCACACTTCGCAGGGCCCCCACGGAGCTGCGAGGTCTCGGCGGGGTGCGCGTGCTCACCTACTCCGCCGTGCCCCCCTATCAGCCCACGAAAGTGGCGACCGTTGCGCAGTTCGCAGCGCCCAGGGAAGGAACTGCGAGGTCTCGGCGGGGTGCGCGTGCTCAACTACTCCGCCGTGCCCCCCATCAGCCCACGAAAGTGGCGACCATTGCGCAGTTCGCAGTTTCTCAGAAAGCCGTGAGGTCTCGGCTGGGTGTGCGTACTCCCCTACTCCGCCGTGCCTCCCAGGAGCCCACAAAAGTGACGACAATTGCGCAGTTCGCATGGAGTCGCGAGGTCTCGGCTGGATGCGCGTACTCCCCTACCCAGCCGTGCCTCCCATGAGCATACGAAGTGTGGCATTGCGCAACCGTTGCCGCAATGGTTGCGCAGTTCGCAGCCACCCAGTGAGCAGCGCAATAGGAGGCAGGGAGAGGGTGGAGGCAAGAGGGGAGAGGAGGAGGAGGATGAGGAGGAGGAAGAGGAAGAGGTGGAGGAGGAGGAGCAGGAGGAGAAATTAGGAGGAGTAATTAGGAGGAGTAATTAGGAGGAGGAGGAGGAGGAGGAGGAGGAGGAGTCGCGACCACAGTGCTATATGCAAACCGAGAACCCAAGGCAGAAGGGTTGGGAAAAATGAGCGCGCGCAGCTTAACAGCTGCACTTTGAAGGCGTAATGTAATAGGACAGGCCCTGTCTGAGAAGAAAGGCGCCAATGCACATGACAACAATCACAACACAACATAGCACACTTGCATCCTGTTGGTTCTTGAGCCAACACGGCTACGGAGAAGAGGAAGAAGGATGATGATGATGCGGATGACGATGACGATGATGATGATGATGATGATGATGATGATGATGATGATGATGATGATGATGATGATGATGATGATGAGGAGGAGGAGGAGTGAGGTTGGATGTGAGAGGAGAGTGAAAGGAGGGGAGGAGGAGGAGGAGGAGGAGGAGGAGGAGCAGGTGAAGGGGAAGGACCAAGAGGAGGGGGCCCCTGGGTCTGCCAGAACGAAGCAAACGGAAGCAAGACTGCCGGCATCTCCTGCAGCTCGGCGTTGTCCGCGACCAGCGAGGCAAGCCTCGGAGACAGGCTGGCGGCCTCCATGGCCGGCGCTGGCGCTGCTGCGCCGCAGCTGGTGCGGGCCGCCTGGCCCCAGCCGCAGCAGAACCCATCATCCGAGGCAGGACTCTGTGCGTGTCAAGCGCCTGGGGGCACTGGTCCCCCAAGCGATGGACGCGTGTGAATTCCGGCCTCGGACTTCGGGAGCAGAAGGGGGTGGGCGACAAAGGAGCAGGAGGAAGAGGAGGGAGGAGGGAGGCTTGTTCTGATGCGTGGGAAGTCCTGGGAAGTTATCATGGCAGGTCCCGGGAACTTCTCATGGGCTCCTGGGGCCCTCGCGTCATGCGCCAGCGGGAATCGGGGTGGGTGGACGCACGTGGGGCGCTCGACGGCACGTGGGCCCCAGTCAGCTCCGTATTTGAGACAAACTTCACAGAAATGCTGGAAGGCATGCCGAAGACGGACGACGTACGTTAAAGGGGGCAAGATGAATGTCGATCTAGAAGGCAACCTGGAAGTCTTCGAGCAGGCAAACAAAAATGCACAACTAATCGAAACTTGGATAGTGGGCAGGCTGGGAAGCATGCAGGGTACACTACAAGAAAGAAAACAGTTCAAAGGTATGCAAACGAGGCAATCAGGGAAACGAGCCGCAGGGCGCGTTTGAAAGCAAGGCAGAAGGCTGGGCAAGCTAAGGAAAAGCCAAAACGAAAGCTAAAGGGCAAGCAGAAGGAACGCGCAAAAAGCAAACCAGAGGCACTGCGAGACCACCTCCGGAGCAAGCGTGAAACCCGCCCAGTGTCTGACTGGAGCACCCCCGAGAGGTGCCCCCCTGGAGGCCGGGGGAGGAAGGGAGGGGGCGGCTCCCCATCCCGCCCCACCCCCCAGACCTTCCCCCTCCCACCTCCCCCTCCCCCCCCCTCCCTCCCATCCCCTCCCTCCCCTCCCTTCCACAATTACTCAATATGAAAATACTCTCCCTCTTCCCCTGATGGCGTCCGGGTGAGGGCCGCGCACCCTCCGCGTACTGTTTTTTTACACGGAACAACCAAAAAACAAAAAAATACATAAACCAATATCCCCAGATGAAATCCCAGGAAATGGCACTCTCGCTGAGCGCCGGCGTCCATTTTTTTTTATATCCATAAATGCTAGCTACTCGTTGAGGCGCCGGCCTCATTTCCTGCTCCCGAATCGTTCCGAATCGTGCTCCCCGCTGCAGCGTTGGGCCACATCTTTCGGATCGGTGTTTGGCCTCCGTCGTTCAGGATGGCGTTCTCGCCCCAGCGCGGGCCTTTTTCTCGCGCGCCCATCCGCCCGCCACCACCGCGCCGCACCGCCACCACCACCACCACCACCACCACCACCACCACCACAACCACAACCAGCACCAGCACCAGTACCAACACCACCACCACCAGCACCACCACCACCACCACCAGCACCACCACCACCACCATCACCACCACCACCACCACCACCACCACCACTACCACCACCACCACCACCACCACCACGACAACCACGCACACACGCACGCACGCACGCACGTGCACCACCACCCACTACGCACGCGCGCGCGGAGCCACAGGTCCGCTACGACACGCGTCCGCGGATAGAGAAAATCAGCGCCATGGTAAGGGATGGGAGGGAGGGGTAGGACGTCAGATATGACGCGAGCGCACCTAGCTTGCCTCCCTCTCCTCCCTCTCTCCCTCCCCTCCCTCCCTTCCCCCTCCATCCCTCCCCTCCCTCCCCTCCCTCCCTCCCCCCTCCCCCTCCCCCTCCCCCTCCCCTCCCTCCCCTCCCCATCCTCCTCCCCCCTTCCCACTTCCCTCTTTCCCCTCCTCCGCGAACGCAAACGCATTTTTGTTTCCCCGCGACTGTGGCGGCGCCCCATGGGGCTCCAATTTCGGTGTTCGTACCGACGCCAGCGATCGTAGCTTCTCTTCGGACCTTGCAAGCCGCGTTGCGCGCGTCGCTGAACACTGGAATTTTGGGGGCGAGGGGGTTGGATCAAATCTCGAGTTCGATTCTGCGGAAGGTTGTAAGGGGGACCTCGGGAGATCCGTGTTGACCAGATGATGTGCGTCCAACTCTTTCAGTGCAGGGCTCTTTGTTCCTGACACGGCATTCATTCGCGCTTCGCCCAGAAACGGCTGGATAGCAAAGTTTCGGGGATCATGGGCTACAGCGGGCATTCTGACTGAGAAAATTTCAGCCTAAGAAAACCGACTTTGAACGTCTCTCTGTTTTAGCTAATAACCTCGGTCTGGATTTGGAACGTCGGCAAGCAACTACGGAAAAGCAGCGGCAGCAGGAGCAGACTGCCCAAGAGAAGAAATGGAAGGGAGACGAGACGACACTACAGATCTAAGACCATCTCCATTGTCCATCTCGGAACCCCGATTTCCTCGTACACGCCGAGGAAACTCCGACTCGCGGGACCTGGAGGCTGCGTTCCTCAGCACACCTCACGGGGCCAGCGAAGGGGGACCCCCACCGACGCGCCCATTGGGGGCCTCGTGCGCCCCACCATCCCGACCGCGCGGCGACCCCGCAGGGCACGTCGCGCGCGGCTGCGCGGGCGGGAGCCTCGGTCATCTTCTTCGGCCACTGCGCGGCGCCAGGGGAAGGGAGGCCGGGCGGGCGTTCGCGCGGAGCCTCCCGACCACGTCTGTGACTACCTACCAGACCACCCCACCCCAACCCGAAGACCCGAATTTGACCCGAACTTCGCGTTGGGGGGGGGTACGGGTTCCGTGTGTGTTTTCAATGTTCCCCGATCCCCCCCCCACACTGGAAATGGAGGGCAGATTGAGGCCTTCGGGTTGGGTAGGGGTGGTTTGGTGGGTGGTGAGTCTGAAGGCCCGAAAAGCACTTGGGCATCAGCTATTCCCTCCAGCGTGGCTGGCCTGCGCTTCGTGGGCTCCTCCGTTGTGCCCTCAGGCCCCTGGGACGTGAGACCTCATCCGGCCGCGTCGGCGGCGACGAGGCTGCTGAGGCTGAGTCGAATTTGCATTGGAAGCCCTCATCCGGTTGAGGGAAACAATTAAGCAACACTCCCCCCCTCCCCCGCAATTCAAAGTTGACAGGTTTTCGCAAGACCGCTCGGAGGCCCAAAATCGGAAGATCCGAAACCAACATTGCATTTGGAGGGAGGGGGGAGGTCCAAACCATATGTTCTGCATGAGTGTTGCTTAAGTGTTTCCGACAACTGTCTGGCGGCACAGCCCCCAACGCTGATGCTGGAGCCTACAATCCTGGACTCTGGCCAGCGTCACCAAATCCAAGCTCGGCCAAAGCCAGGCAAGCCGAGGCCCGAGCCTGAGCACTAGCCGACACCCCTTCCCCCCCGCCTCGGCCAGAGCCTTAGCATCAGCCTCGAGCCAAACCTAAACTTACGCTCAAGCGTCAGCGCAAGCTGCCTCCATATCCCCCTAGAGCGCCCCTAAAAACACTTAGAATGTTCTAAAACCTTCCTGCATTCCCGTCTTCTCCACCTCCCCCTCGTCCTCCCTCCCTCCCTCCCTCTCTTCTGCCTCCCCTTCCCCTTCTCCTCCTCCTCATCCTCATCCTTCTCCTCCATCCCTCCTCCTCCTTGAAAAACTCTCCCCTGTCGCACCAGCTCCCGGGGGGGTGCGCGTCTCCTTCCCCTGCACAACGGGCTCCCCCGGATCCGTGGGGTCCCCCTGGACGCCCATGCAACAGGTCCCCCGGGCTGTCCGGAGCTCCTCGAAGCCCCTGCTGGGACCAGGCAGCGGGCCCAATTTGGTCAGGAGGGCGGACGAACGGCCAATCCAAAGAGGATCCCCAAGAGGCTTTCGGAACGAACAGCAATATGGATTCCCCTTTGGTTCTTCGGTCTTCCAAGCGTCCGACCGCCCAGGAGGCCCGACAATCGTTCAAAAACTGTCCAAAAGGGCTTCCAGGCAGATCAAGAGAGCCCTATCAAGACGGCCATACAGGGCCCCAAGATGGCCCGAAGAGAGCCCAGGATGTCCCCTAGACGCCCCCCGATGCATTCCGCATCGTGACGAGGTCGTTCAGGAAGATCGCGGTTGGAAGCAGGATGGCCCGCGGAAGCCCCCAGAGGCCCCAGAAGGCGCCCAGGTGGCCTCCAGAAGGCCCCAAGAAGCACTGAGGCACTTTCGTGAGGCCCCCAAGAAGCTGTCCAAGGAGAAGCCTCCACAAAAAAAGCTGAGGAGGATGAGGAAGAATTCGCAGGGTAGGACGAAGCTAAGGAAGAGGAAGAGGAATAACGAGGGAAGGATTATGAAACGCATTGCTATCACGATGCTGTCGGGAAAAGGCAACAAGGAATTATCGCTAAATTGTCTGTTTTACCTTCCTGCCATTCCGCCTGCATACCAAACTTCAAGGACCAAGATGCATGGCGCAAAGCGCCAATGCACTCTTCTGTGTGTGTATGTATGCATGCATGCATGCATGTATAGGTGTATGTATGCATGTATGCATGTATGTATGTAGGTGTGCATGTGTGTATGTATGTATGTATGTATGCATGCAGGCATGCATGTATGTATATATATATATGCATGCATGTAAATGTGTATGTATGTATGCATGTATGTATGTATGTATGTATGTTTGTATGTATGTATGTGTGTGTATGTATGTATGTATGTATGTATGTCTGTATGTATGTATGTACGCATGTATGTACTGTAATGTATTGTAATGTAATGTAAGTAATGTAATGTAATGTAAAGAAATGTAATGTAGTGTATGCATGCATGCATGCATGTATGTATATGTATAGGTATATGTATGTGTATGTGCACGTGTAACTGTAAATGTATAGGTATCTGTATATGTATATGTATGTATGTATGCATGCATGTATGTATGTATATATCTGTATGTTGGCATGTATGTATGTATGTGTGTATGTATGTATATGTATGTATGTATGGATGCATGCATGTATGTATGTATGTATGTATGCATGGTTGTATGTATGTATGTATGTATGTATGTTTGTGTGCATACACCTATGTATGTGTGTAGGTATGCATGTATGTATGCGAGCATGCATGCATGTGTGTATGTATGCATGTATGCATGTACATGTGTATGTATATATATGCATGTGTAGGTGGGTGCATGTATGTATGCACGCAGGCATGCAAGTATGTATGTATGTATGTATGTATGTATGTGTGTGCATGTAGGTGTGAGCATACGCCTGCATGCATGCATGTTTGTCTGTATGTATGGATATATGTATG